GTTTTTGTCAGAAACGCACTAGCTTTTGAAAGTAAAATGGGGGTTTTCATTGTCAGAGAGGAAGAAATTGTTGACCTTTGGGCATCCCCTATTAAATATCTTCTTATTAGATTTGAGAGTAATGATGAACACTGATTAAAAAAACCTTTTATAGGACTTTAAATAAAACATAGATATCCAAGTATGTAGCCTTTATACATTACAACAGAACTGTTTTCCTGAAGCTGTGTTATTTTACAATTATTAATACACTGTTAGAAAAAAAAATCTATAGAAAAATTATGTCCTGGCATTGGGCAATATTTTTTTATAGTATTTATTAATATTTTGAATGAGCTTTTATTTTGAGATTTAATTTTAAATGTAATAATTTTGTTAATTGTGTATATTAATATATGTATTTAAAATATTCATATTGTTTAAATAATTTTTATTTCAGTTTTAATTTGAGTAATTTTAGTGCAACATTTCTAGTTTTATATTTATTTTTCCAAAAAATAAAAATAAAAAAACAATGTAATTTTCAATGACCAAAAAAACTGATTTTTTAAGTTTCAATAACAATACCACTGTCGTGTCAACGCTGCCATTTTGGATTCTCCCTCTGTGACTTTGTACCCAGCTGCAGCTTTGGTTGATGTCATTTCATGGATGCGATTCTCACTTCTATAAATGAACCACTTTGATTCCAAGAAGACAATCTGACGGCATCAACAGTATTGTTAGGTGAATCCTTAATATTTCTAGGTGTTTCCCTAGGCAGTGATAAGGGAAGCATGCTGTTTCTCATATTTAGTTTGATTTGGCCTGAGCCATATCCGCAGAGCTAAAAACCACGTTCATGTAGGAACATGCTAAAAACCTTCAGAATATCTTAGCAACTGCTTATAGCAATACTGGTAACAAACCACAACACAGTATAGAATTGAGAAAGTGGCTTTTAAAATGGCAAAATACAGTTCATAGCTGGAGAACATTTTCTTTGCATCTTTAAAGTAAATCGACATATATTTTAGTGCATGCTCGCTAACTAGTTATTATTTTAGGTGGTTCCTGGATATTTAAGGCGTTTTCGAAGTGACTCATCTAATGTCTTCCACAGGAAACAGATGCTTTATTACAATCATCATAATTATCAGTCAGTCAAAAAGGAGTACAATTACGATGTCTGCACAGTAAATCAGCATCAATTTAAAATGCTTACAAACTGTTGTAAAGTGTACAGTAAAATTGTAAAGTAACACATTTATGAAACCTTACAGTAAAACTCCAAAAATGTACAATACAATAATGCCATTAGATATAATGCAACATTTCAACTCACAGCCCTCAATTTTTGGCCTTTTGTAGTAAAACATTTGAGTATCTTTACTAGATTCACTGTCATCACTAATGAACAGCTATAAATAAAAAAGGTAATTATTTGGAAATAAGGTAAAGTAAAATACGACAAAATACAAAGAAACTAAATTAAATTCTAACTCAATTCAGTTTTTCATAGAAATTCCATGGTTAAAACATGATTCATCATGAAAACAATGCAAAATAGAATATTTACTAGTAGTCTCAAACATCTGGAACACACTGTTTGCATCTCGAACACAAAAATTGAGTACAACTTCTTTTACAAAATCATACTCTTGTTTTTCAAGAAGCTTTTACATTGAGAACTACACTACAAATACACATGAAACCTAGGATTGAAGCGTGAAATGAAGACATTTTTTACTGTGCAACAAGATCCACCGGTACACACCCCTTAACTAACTATATGCCTGTGAGTAAATAAACCTCAGCCTGTTGCATCAGGCATATTAAAAAACTGCTCATTTTAGTGCCAGTCGACACGTCCCCTTTCCTTCTTTTTTTAATATTTTGCCCCATAGCTCTTTTTAGTGCTTGTGTAAAACTAAGGAGGGTTGGAAGAGGTGTATTTTGATTTCTCTCAGTGCAAAAACAGACATTCCTGCTGCCACACACAAACATGATTAGCCAAAGCAAGAGCCAATCAGAGAGCAGGAAGCCTTTAAAATGGCCGTTGATGACAGCCTCTCACATTAGGGTTGTCCTATAGTGGAAGACGCTGCTGTAATCAGAGCCCTACGCTTGGACGTGAACAGTAATAGTTGGAGATCCAAACAAGTCCTCTTTGAGAAGTTGGGGGGCAGGATGGGGTGGGATTTGAGGAACAGAGGCAGGAGTGTTTGAAGTGAAAAACACAAGACCTTTAAGTATGGAAAAGTACTGACTTTTGAGAGTTTTTTTTCCATAAGTAAACGCATGACAGACCACTGAAAATCTTGCACAATAGCATCTGTTGCAACAGAGTGCAGCTGTAAATCAATCAGTTCATTCCAGCAATGCTAAAGCGAATATTTTGGTGAAAGAATTTTCACAATGTGTGTATTTATATAAGATATGCAGTCCAAAGCAGCTCAATATGTGTGTAAAACCTCTCAGTTTACACTTGCAGGCACAGTGTGAAGAACTGTTTTTGGCTTACCATCCCCCATTCACACATTAGCATTACAGTTAGCATCACAAACCCTAAATGTGAGGCTTTTGAAAATAAAGGCTGTAAGTAGAACCAAAGTGGGTTTTACATAACTATTGGAACTTTCTATTTGCTAGCTCTTTAGAAAAACATCTACTACTAGTGCTTTAACAGACGAAGACACCAAATGCTAATCTGAGGAACAACATAAAACTTTCTTAATCTCCACAGAATCACATAGCAACTCAAATCTTGTACATTTGTGCTAGGAACATTAATTATTCCTCAGATCATGTGTTTTGTTGAGGAGAGGAGAGTTATTTACCTAGTGATTACTGCGTTTTTATCAAAGCGGGTAAAAACTCCCACAAACATACATTGAAGGATGAACTTGAGCAATATTTAGAAACCAGAATAATACACTTTTTTTGTGGGCTCTTTTAAAACCCATTAGCAACATGCTAACTTTAACATCCTAGCTTTAGCAACATGCTAAAAATCACTCAAAACATCTTAACATCATGACAGAGCCACTACTTTATCTAGAAAGTTCCAGCAATAAAAAATGATCAAAGTTGATGGCCAAAAACAGGACTTGGTAACACAAAATGTCAGTTCTGGGGGACTATGTCACTGCAGAACAGCTGCTTCTTTCCTTCACAAGCTATATAGACACCAGCTGTGGTGTCACAGTGAAATCGGAAACCACAGCGTCCTGTTTATGCAGAGAACAGTGTTCATGACTATAGTTCAGAACCACATACGTGCTGTTTTGCCTATAGTGATCAAAACCACCGTCAATCAAACACAAAGTCAATGGTACAATGGTACACACACACGTCTGGTCAGCTATCCTTGTGGGGACTCTCCATAGGCGTAATGGTTTTTCTACTGTACAGACCGTATATTCTTTTGCCCTACACCAACCCTACACCTAAACTTACTCCTCACAGGAAACTTTCTGCATTTTTAGATTTTCAAAAAACTTAATTCTGTATGATTTATAAGCTTTTGTACCCGTGGGGACCACAATTTAGGTCCCCACCGTGACACGAGTCCCCATGAGCCTGTGTGTAGTCAGGTTTAAGTCCCCACCAGGATATATAAACCTGTACACACACACACACACAATAGATATGATAGCTGGGCAGAGCCAAAAGGTTCCTGTAGATTTATTAAGGGTTTCATCAGTAGACGAAAATAACAGTGCAAGATTTTTGCTCCTTGAGTGATTGCACGTTTCATTCTTGGCCTTTGCACAGGCTTACGTTAAACACGTTTCCTGCTAACTTGCCTGAGCTTGTGTGACATAAAAAATTTCAGTCTAATCAAAATTGCGATTTAAGTGAGACATGCTACAATTTATCCAAAACATTCATTAGAACTACAATAAATCCAAAAAGTGCTTACAAATGCTAAAAGAGTGAAGTCACAATACCTATATATATATATATATATTTTTTTTTTTTTACCTCCACACCAGGATATATAAACCTGTACACACACACACACACAATATATATGATAGCTGGGCAGAGCCAAAAGGTTCCTGTAGATTTATTAAGGGTTTCATCAGCAGACGAAAATAACAGTGCAAGATTTTTGCTCCTTGAGTGATTGCACGTTTCATTCTTGGCCTTTGCACAGGCTTACGTTAAACACGTTTCCTGCTAACTTGCCTGAGCTTGTGTGACATAAAAAATTTCAGTCTAATCAAAATTGCGATTTAAGTGAGACATGCTACAATTTATCCAAAACATTCATTAGAACTACAATAAATCCAAAAAGTGCTTACAAATGCTAAAAGAGTGAAGTCACAATACCTATATATATATATATATATATTTTTTTTTTTTTACCTCTACATATATCAGGGCTGCCAGGTTTTCACAACAAAACCCGCCCAATTGCTACTCAAAATTAGGAGGGTAAAATAAACGTGTTTTTTTGGGGTGGGGTTCCCCGGTAAAATTCGCACTTCAGGGGATAAATATGTTTTTAGGGTCGCTTCAACCTGCGGACATGAAAAACAACCCGCGGCAACAG